GGAAAGAAAACTTGTCTGACTCATCCACAAGTATTTCAAGATTAAATTAGACCCTTCCCATTGCTAGTTTTAAGAAGCTCAGCAGACTCTGAGCAGCTCTGCAACACCCCAAAACCAGATCCTCTGACTGAAGCCAGCAGGAGGAACAGAGAAAAGCAAAGGGTGCACATTACCAAGTAACATCCAGGAAAACTCAAGTAAATTTGACAGATCACTCCAGAATCCAGAGAACAGCAGATTTTTTTTCAGAGACCAATAAGGATTTTCCTTGGACAGACACAGGAGGTGGATATAAAGTGCATGTATACACAAGCTTCTATAATGCATAATGCCTATAATGTTCATTGCTGGACAGCAGCCCAAAAGCAGGAGGAAATACAGCTTCAGTATAAAGCTTTTTTAGAAGTGGTTCATACAAAAGTTTCAGACAAACAAAGCTAGTAAATTTTGTGGTATAATTACCAAAGTTGAAAGTTTTGACATGATACTTTGTTCACAAAAACTAACAAGAAATGCTATTAACAAAAGTATTTACATAACCAGAATATTTTTCCTTGTCCAAGGCTGAAATGTTTATCCTCATTTAAAGAAAAAAGGGTCATATAACTTGACAAATAGCAGATGTAAGAGCACTAAGCCATCAGGTCATTTGTTAATCAGATAGAAACATTTAGATCCCTATGACTGCTGCTTAATAATGGACAAATATCACAGTCTGTGTTCGCAACAAGAAAGACTTTTTTTCTTAATTAAAAAACACCCCTTTTTTCAGCTCTAAGGAACATTATTCCAAGATCAAACCAACTCTACCCCTGGAAATGCACAAAGCTCATTTGGTACAGATGTCTCCCAAGGTTTAACCAGATAACCTGCTGCCCACTCTGACACACATCTAACCAGTCTGCACAGTACAATCAGCTTCCCAGCTCTACAGGCTGATGGTAGCACAATGACAACGAGCAGTGGGGATGGAGCCAGAAACTTTCTGCTACAGAAGACTGCAGTGGTCTGCCCTGGGTAGTACTGAGACGTTGAACACCCCCCTGTAGAAGGCTGCTTCTGAGTCAAGAGAAGCTTCTAGCAATGTATCTGTGCTCTGAATAACCTGAGATCACTGCAAGTGCTTAAAAAACAGCCACCTGCATGGATGACACACATGCCTTAAGGCACAACAGGCAGATCTTCACTCCCACCACTCCACTGTGTTGTAAATAAGCAAAAGGAAAAACTATACTCAAATTGATCTCTGCAGCTAGCTAGCACAATGTTGTAGTAACAATTAACGCCTCATACTAATCCTAATGTTTCACTAGCTAGCAGAGGAAAAGTCAGAAGGTGGCATTAAGGGCTGCTAGCTGAAAATCAAGACATTGAATATATCAAGCAAACAAAAGGAAGAATCTCCATCAGCATCCTTGGTGGCATATGGTGGGTTGAGTAAATCTTGGACACTGCTACCAGCAACGTTTTAACAGGCTTATCAGATGTGAAGAAAGGTGGATTTTGGGTTTTTTTTTTTGTTATCAGATGTGAAGAAAGGTGGATTTGGGGTTTTTTTTTTTTATTTAAATAATCTTACTATCCTGACACCCAGATAGCTATTGATCAGAGCATTACCATTCTTCTGCTTTTCAGACACCATGGCAGTTTTACTAATGAAAACCTACAAATGAAGAGATAATGACAGCCTATGGAGGCATGCAACAATTAGTCTTCCCTGCTAATGCACTCCTCCCCCAACAAAATACAGTAATAGTTAAAGGCATCCCTGCTGTTCTAATCTTTGGCAAGCTACATTCATCTAGAAACGTGAATAATTAAGTCTTCCCCCCAAAAAACAATCAGTCATTCTGGTGACAAGTTTTGTGCCATTAACTAAATAGTTGAGGTTATTTTGACAAATGCAGGCTGGAGATCAGCTCACTGTGAGCAAAGATAGGTAACGAAGTGTCCCAGACTTTGCTACTTGATGTAAACATGTGAACTCCATATGCTGGACAGCAACTTAAGAGTACAACAGCCTAAGAACTGCAGTCCAGAATGTTGCTATGATGCTATGAGTACAACTAAGCTGATGAAGAGGTTTTTGTTTCTGGCTGCTGCTGTTCTCCATCTGTGACAGAGCTCCCAGGCTAAATACACATATGGTTGTTTCCTAACCCAGTACTGTCAAGTGATGCTGGTTAGCCAGACAGAGATATGCAAACAAAGCTGCTGGCAGCAGCTCTGAATGGTATTGCTCCTAATCCAGCCCACTTGTTCCTAGCTTTGTCAGTTTTAAACTCCCTGTAACTTAACAGTGCTTCGGTATGGATCTGAGCAAAGACCAAAAGAAAAAAAGCCTCACTTGATGGTCATTATAGAGGATCTGATCCATCACAGAGAACAAGTGAAACTCTTTGGTCATTTTATAAACACATACTTATGTATGTATGCACACAAATATTAATGGTGTATGTATGTTGCATATGTACATATTTTTGCAAGTTGATTAGTGTATAAAGAGAAAAAACATACATAATCCATAGCAGGAAGAGACAGAAGCAGACAACTGAGAACATCAACGGATTACCCTGTATGTCCTTGTGCAGCAGGGAACAGAACCATACCTTTATCACATAAAAAGACCTTTCAATTCAAACCACTCCAATGGAGAGAAATGTACACACAGTGGCACAACAGGGAGATAACCCAAACTTAGCCACTATTAGACCAGCATGAGCGAACACAGCTACAAACACCTTGGAACAGACCCACACCCTCAAGCGGTGTCTCTGTCTCTCTCAAGACAAGTACTACAGAGGTGCAAACAAACAGGTTCACCAACCCACCTTGATTCAACAGCACAAGAATTTACCATAGGACACAGAACATAAGAACACTCTTCCAATTATTTTGAGTTCAAGGACTTCCTGAGCCAGGTGTGGTTTCTGTGTATTCACTAACTCACAATGAATTTCCCACTATGAAATTTATCCAGTTTGAGTCCACATCAGTCTTCAGCTTCCACCATCATGTTTGGCTATGAGTCATACAAGCATACTACCCACTGAGTATGAAATTCCTCTTTCCACTGCACTATATAAAATACTGTTGGAGAAAGGTACAAAGTCTAGATTATATTACTGTATATGGATTTTGACAGAGACATTTGAGGTTTTAAAGGCACTGCTTAAGCATGATAAAAATGGCATAAGAACTTAATAAACACAGTAAGATTCAACTTGGTTTTAAAACTATATACCCTGTAGTGGTACCTTTCAAGTTAGTATATGGTCAAAGTTTCTACAGAATGTTTTAGCAATCACCAAGTAGTGCAGTTATTCATTACTTTCAATGTCCATACATACAGCCCCTAGTACACCTATTTATTTAGGATTAGATAAAGAAAAACTCCTCCCTCCCATGAATCCAATTTTTCTTTCCTAAAAGCCTGGGACTTGACAGAGACCAAGGCCACTGATTTGCTGTCAGAACCAGTTGCCAGATATAATTACAAGCTGAATAGAGATATCAAAGACTGACAGATCCTGAATAACTTGCTCTCCCTCCTTTTCAGTAGGACTTCACTAAAGATATTTTAATGGCTTAGAAGGTATCCATTTCTTTAGACCATTGGGTTTCATCAGCAACGCTGTAAGAGCCTTATTTCAGGATTCCTGGTAGGTACTGAAGACCAAAACAATTCCTCCCTCCTGCCAACCATTAGGTTGATTATTGTGTGGAAAACAGAATTGGCTTACTATAAAGCAACTTGACCTTGCAAAACACAAGTGGTAGAACCTTTTGGCAGCAGGTCAAAGAAACTTCCTTTATTTCCATAAGTATTCACAAGTTAGATTTATGAACCATTGATCATTAGCCACCAGCTCTGTATTGCTTTTTCATGTACATGCATTTAAATGCACCACTTAGTACAGAGGATACCCTTTCTTTCCTCTGCACATACTTAACATTTTTTGAATGAAATTCCAGAATCAGAAAACTACATTTGAGAGAGTTCTGATTGCTACTTGAAAGGGACCCAATTACTTATTGCATCCTTTAGAAAGCACAGGAACTTGCCCAAAAAGCCATAAAATTTAATTTTTTTTTGGGAAAAAAAAAAGCAAGCCCAAAATGTCAGCTACAAATGATCACTATTGGAGTATATACTACTTGTCTGTAGATCAAACATTTACTCGGGATAGGTAAACAATATCCAAACACCAAATCTCATAACAGAGAAACCAATTTGACTCCAGAAAACTTCCCTTATTTTCTTTACAAGGGACATTGGCACAGAAGCTATGTAAAAAATGGTTTCCCAAAAACAGTGAAGAGCTGTCAGTTAGACAAGAATATAAAAAGGATATTTTGGGACTTGGGATTGATCAGTCTGTAAGCAGCATTATATGCCCACAGTCCAAGCAGACAGCAATGGGACCCATGTGGGATCCCATTCCATAAGAGATCTCTGTAGGGGCTGACACTTAGCCTGCAGTGGTTACTCCATTATTTTAATAAGTAAAACATGTCAAAGTCACTACAAACTACTACTGTTGCTATGTTTTCATGACATATAGAGCTGCATTGAGAAACTTGTTTTATATTGCCAGTGCAAGTTGAGAATTTTATTTTTCTTGATCTTACATTAACGAGGCTGAGTTTGGTAACATTTTCATATGACAGATATTGAAGGCACTGTAGAAATTAATTCATGAGTGAAGAAAACATTTTAATAAAAAACCACAACAGGCAGCTCACAGACATATTGGCTTAGTGTAAAGAAATAAGAAAACCTTTATTATCTTACAGGTACTGGAGAGTCCATATTGCTTAACAGCTTCCTAAATAGCTGTTTGGACACTTCTCCAGAGATAAAAAAATGTGTGTTCTTTAGCAGATTTCCTGACAGATGAGGAATGGTTTATGGCTTAGAGGGAACATGGCTCTTTCCAAGGCCTCTGGATACCATTTGCAGAAGGCAGATGGTATCCAGAGTTTTTGTTCTGTAAAAGATAGCTAATACATACAGAAGAACCAGAAGCCCTTCATGAGAGGTGTTTATGAGGTCAGGAAGAACATATGCCTCTATATGCTTTACATATGCATTCAATACACACGTGTTTCAATTAAATACTTATTTATAGAAATAAACAGTTTTTTGCCATAAAGGTCAAAAGTTACTTTGTTACAAAAATAAAGAGCAATTTCAGAAGTTGCAGTGGCAGACCCCAATCCACCCATTCTAAAGGAGGGCAAAGGGCTCCTTTATGGACATGGGGAGGAGTACTGCACACTTCAATTCCCACTGAGGGCATAACAATGCAAACTAACAAGTTGAAGAGGCACGTTATGTGGAAGAAAAAAATTAATCAAAAATATTCCATTTAAATATGTGACCTATGTTAAAAGGAAAAACAAACAAAAAACCCAAACATAACCAACCAACCCCAGAAACAACATTGCTACTCAAAATACTCTAAAACTTGGAAATCCCTAGATATCCTGAAATTGTTTCCCTGAACGAGATACTGAACAAGCTGTTCTTGGTAGCACAAGCCTTTAGCAGAGCAGACAGTGTTCCTTTGTGAGCTTTGTGCATTTGCGGCAAAAAAAAAGAGACTTCTTTGTTCCTGCTTGGTTTCTCCTCTGCTTTACCTGGGGTAGTATGCTGTGTAGTTCATGAAGAGCTGAGCCCCAGCAGGGTAGTAGGCAGCGGAGGGCTGGAGCGTTCGTGGGTTCAGGAGCATGGATGGCTGATACAGAGCAGCTTCTGTTGGCACAACTGCAGCAGGAGCTGGAAAGGAGTAGGAAGGGGGTGAAAGGCCTAAAGAGAACAAATGGAAAATAGATTAGGACCCCTTGAACTCCAGAGCTAATGAAGACCATACACATGAAACAACTCTGCAGTATGTCAAGAGCCTTCACAGGCTTCTCATTCCCTTGCTCATCGCAGAAAATAAATCCAGGTCACCAACGTGAGCTTGACTAAAAGTGTTGTGCACACTATACAGTCAAAAGCAAAATCAAGAAGACACAAAAAAACACCTCTTGCTCTGGGAATAGGGACTCTTTCTGAAGAGGAGGCCAGTTTTTCTTGTCTAGGCTCAGATTTAAATGAAGTCTGCAATCAAGAAGTATGAGACTTCTCCAGTCAGAAGAAAACTTCCGTGATAAAGATCTGTCTAATATTCTACAGAGCAGAGGAAACTTTTTCATCCTAGAAACATAGAATCATTGAGGTTGCATCACGTCCACCCATTAACCTGTCACTGCTGGAACCCCTGAACCCTAAACCATATCCTCCAGCACCAGATCCAGTCACCTCTTAAACACCTCCAGGGATGGTGACTTCACCACCTTCCTGAGCAACTTATTCCAATGCCTGATGTTTCCTCATGTTCCCTATCCCTCAGACAGCTCTGTCTTCAATTAATCAACAGCAGAGTGAGAAAAGTCACAGCTCTGCAGTTTCAGGTATTAACACTAAGTTTAAAAAAAAAAAAAAACAACCAAAAGTGCACTTTGCGGTGTTTCAACAAGATGTAAGGCCTTAAATGAATTCTCACTGATGGCAGTTCACCCTTCATCCTTTGCCATTCTCTTCCTTTGCTTCCCTCTTCTCCTCCCCAGTGTCATAAAAGTGAAGATATAAAAGCTTTATCTAAAGTAAGTCTTTATTTTTGCTATTCTGAGTTAGTGGCAGTCAGCATCTCACTGTATTGTGAAATGAGGCAGTGATAGCTGAAAGAGCTTCTCTGAGGATTACATCACAAGCATTTGTAATTGGAAATGGGAACACTGCCACCTAAGTGTTTCCAAAGTTTGGGACTCTGACCCAGAACTAGTCCTAGGAGCTTTCAGAAGATTCCAGCCCATCTAGAACAGCTGTCACACATAAGACTATGTACTGCTGATCCCTGCTCAGAAGGATACTTTCTTATTGAAAGTAAACAAAAATCTCTGCAGGATTAGCTGAAGGCCTACTCACACCGTAACAAAATCACTCCCAAGAAGTTTGCTGCCATATTGGCGGCTCTGACTAGGGTTTAGAGGACATGTCTTAAAACAACAACAACAACAACAATACATTTGCACAGAGAGACAGAAGGAAAGCTCCTACTTTACTACCTTGCCATTTATGATCTTGGAAACAAAGTATTATTTTTCCCATAGGCTCAGATTTATGTGGCACTTATGCTTAGTAAGTTAGCCCTTTAGCATTTCTCCCCAAACATCTGTGCAGAAGTCTGTGTTCATCCTAGTAAATCTGAGAAGCAAAATTCAAAAGGAAATGCATTTTCCTCAATTTTCTGAGGCCAAAGCCACGTGTATTTTACTCCGACACAGGCAACCTCAATTCTGTATGATCAACAAACAGCAAAGGAAGAGTTTAGGCAGTAGTGGTACAAAAGGCAGAACATGTGTGGCTAGGTCCCACAGGGGAACATTACCAGTGGTTTCATAAATTCAGTTTTGGAAGTGAAAAATGTAAATACAAAGCAGTTTAAGTGGGAAACAGTTTTTTAAAGTCTAGGCATGGCTTACAAATTACTTTTCATAGCCATTGCTCACCACATCCAAGTAAGGTTTCAGGGAGGGGAGAGAAAGTTTGCCACTGGAAAACCAAAGGTAGTTCTTCAGTCATAATAATTCACAACCAAAGGGAAAAATAATGATTGCAAGCTATTGATGATTTAAGACAGAAAGGCCTTATTTTCATACCCCCAATATGACAATCCTTTCCAAGAACCAGAATCAGCGTCAACAAAGCAGCTCCAACACCTACCCGCACACAGCGAAGAGTATTGGCAAGAGCCAAGCAAAACTTACATGGTAACTTACATGGTGGTGGGGACAAGCCATTTCGATTTAAAGTGCCCCCCATTAATACAAAGTTCATCTCCTCAGCAGAACATTGAAAGACTTCAACATATCTGTCCTTCATAGTCTTCTTATGACACTTCTGAGCAGCTAGAAAAGCTCGGTCTGCAGATTTCATCTGAATAAAAGCATCTCCCGATGGACGCCCCTAAAAACAAGGCAGGCAAAAAAGAAATGTTTCTAGAGCTCCCATGAAGTAGCAGCATGGCAATAGTTTGTGCTGTTAGAAGCAGTCTCTTCAGTCATAAGTTTATTCATCTCCAAGGTCATGTACAGTCAGTTAACCAGAGTACCTATCCATATGTTTAAGGTCTCCTCTCCAAAGTTTTTCCCACTTGTGATAACTTCATTGTATTTACCTGTTTTGATTTACTTACACTGTAATTCAAGTCATACTACTTCTGTGTTTATTAAAGTAAGGACATCTATGGGAGAGACTATAATTCAGGGGTACTTAGGTGCTTTGAGACCTGCTCTTACCAATTTAATAAGCATACAGAATTGGAAGATCGAGTCCCTACTTTTAAAATTCAAGAATAAATATAGTCAAGTGTCAAATGTTAAATGATTTACTTTAAATTTTATTTTGTTAACACCACTATGGGCTAGGATATTTTAAAAGGGTAGTAACCTAAGGCTTGGTAAGAGCTTGTAGAGGAAAAAAATAAAACCTTTATATAGGTGTAAATGAGTGGGATACACCACTGGGAGGAGACATTTTAGCCACATGCAGCTGCTGGCTTGAAGCAGCCAAAACTAGAGTTAGAAGCCAGCTCTAACTTAAACTTCTTCTCGTTTTCGAGGGAAGAACAAATTTATCAACA